TTTAGACTAGGTTTACACTAGAGGAGAGTTTTCCGGATTCGTAAATGTTTCCGGATTCATCAATTTTGGAGTATTCGGATTCGTAGGCGTTTACACTGAAAGGATATTCGGATTCCTGACCGTTTACACACAACGACAACTCCGGGAACATTCGAAATGGAATGGTTACCAAGCCCAGTGTTGTTTCGTCGTTCGATCGACAAAGTGAAAATGCCTCCCCCAAAAAAGGCTAGAGTAGATCCAGATGCCACTGAGGCAAATTTGAGTTGGACAGATGCCAAGCAGTCTACGTCGTCGGCGATTAAGTGTGGCTGACGTTAAACTTCCTTGCAATAATAATTTGCGTTTCTTCAGAAATACTGCGGTACACATGATAAAATTTATCGCCTGAACCTGCAACAAGATTAGGCAACCGGAGACCGCCAGCAATGTTAGCACCAGATCCATTTTGGTTTCACCGCAAACTCAAAAGATTGCAGGTGGAAATAATATCCGGATTCGAGAAAAAAAGCGGTTACACGACAAAACTTTCCGGATTCAAAAGTTATCGGATTCAAAGTTCCCACTTTAAATTCCGGATTCAAAATCTCCGGAGACACGACCAAACCGGGAAGTTTTTATTTCGGATTCGTCCACTTTCGTGTAAACGGCGGAATAAATCCGGTGCTAAAACGTTTCGGATTCATCACGAATCCGGAACAATTTCCTCTAGTGTAAACCAAGTCTAAATGTACACCCGGTCAGCAGTTTTGCCCATCGCATATCTGGTCTACATACGTGTGGTCGTGAACAACGATTTTTTCGCTTCTCAGCCATGCACTACGGAATGTACGTCTCGATTTAGTCAAAGACTTGATTCAGAAACGTTGCAGACATGCATTTGCTTAGCTATCATCTTGATGCATCTAATAAACTGCCTGGATGGATTGCATGATATCGATGAACTATTTCGATACTCGACACACGACTGTGTTTGACCTGTCCGACTGTTCTTTATTCGGGTTAATACATGGCTTTCTCTGGTATAAAGTAGATTTTCTGTGAGGCTAGCCAGTTAGATTTGACCTTTCCGTTAGCGTCTGCAAAATTTGGTCGAGAATATGGAGCGAGCGAACTGAAGAGAGACCCATAATATACAACAAAGGCATCCTGAAGAAATTTCCAAAAGTTGCAAGGTAAGCTTTGTTTCAATTTATATTTCATCAAATTCGGCCATAAAGTCATTTCTGAACACCTTAAGACTGTCAGCATTACCGATGTTGAGGCCGAAATACATTTAATTTAGATCGAGCGCCAATTCTTAACACATCTTTCAACAGTCAAACTAGATCACCTGTTCCGGGCATCTCTGTATTTTAGGCGTTGGATGAAGGAGAGGGTCACAAAAATACCGTGTATTCTAGAAGAGTTATCCAGCCATGCTAAAGGAAAAATGCGTATGGCGCGCCGAAGTGGACAAAAATACTTGTGTATGGATATATGACTTTTTTTGTAAAATATACGACTTGTTGCGGAAATATAAACTTGTTTTGTAAAAACAAAAATTGTAAAATAAAAGACTTGTTGCGGAAACATGACACTTCCTTTGTAAAATATACGACTTTCTATAAATATACAACACGATCTTCTTCCCGAATGAAGGATTATCATAACTTTTCAAATGTGACAAAATGAAGTATAATCATTCAACATCGAGATGACCGTGAGGCCAGTGAACCCTGGGTACCAAATCTATTGAGAGAAGATTTTCCCGGGTAATTTCGATTTCTTCGGTGCTGTCGTAGGTGCCCTAATCGGTCGCTTGTGTTTCGCTTTCCTCGCTTTTTTCGGGCTATTATTTGATTCATGGCGTCCGCTGTTGTGGAAGGTAAGTAAACATTGTTTTAGTATAAGTTCTGAATTATTCAGACATAAGATGCTTGTGAATATTTATGAGTACGTGATTGCGAATGATACATATATTTTTCAAGCATTCCAATTTTCCAATTAACATTCAGCTTAAAGGTTCTCAACAAAATGAAAGTTTAGAGTGCCC